CAATGTCAGCCTAGGTACAAACAATGTCAATAAAATTATAAACAAAGAGAACAGCTGAAACCATGTCTTATCTTTTAAATGGAAGTCTTCAACAGTAAATAGCCTAACTGTTATTTTAGCTTTTTATCATTTGATGAACAAGTAGACTGTAGATCAATCAGAGTAGTTTAGATATGGCCTACTAGGAATGAGGGATGTGACCAGAGCAGGAGAAAAAATTAGGAAATTTTCTTCAGATAATAACTCAATATGTTTTATCTACTTTTTATCGCAGTTAAGCAACTTTATAGTACTGTTACTGTACTAATTAATTGTTTAATGAAGTTAATATTTTAAATACAAGAAGTTTATGTTACTCTAAAATAACATTGAAAGTCTTGTCTAATTGCAATTTAATGTTTACCTTATAAACAACTTTTTAAAAATTACAACGTAACAAAAGTAGCAATTAAGTTTTATTTTACCATTAAGCTAATTTAAACTGTACTAATCTAGTGTACATTCTAGATGTACTCCTGTTTTCAATTTTAAATAGGGGGCCTAATGCCTTATAATCTTTTAAAGATTGGACAATCATTTTTAAAAACATTTTCATACGAATAGAAATGAAAGTTACTCTAAATAATATTTTCTTAAGATGGCTGCTGTTTTTAGCAAATTTACTATCTCGAACAGGGTTGATAAAAATCAATTTCATGATACTTAAATCAAAATGTCTATTCACAGTCGACTGTGAATTGGGGCTATTCACAGTCATGACCGTTTTTGATAAATTTTATGTTAAAAATACCCAACTGGGCATGAAGATGTGTAGTCAAGCGGTCACGGGGAGGTGTGGCTGTCGTGCCAGAAGGTGGGGGTCCAAATCCATCAGATGTCATATTGCTATGACTCTTAATGTATGCCTTTTAATCTTTATCTTATTATTAAAATATTTTTCACAGTTACTTGAGTTACTCAAGGAAGGGTTATTTTTGTTAATTTGTTTTTGTTGTGACGTAATTGTTAAAATAGCAGCAAAAAAAAAAGACCTGTACCGTAGATTTTTGCTAAGAGAAAAAACACAAAAGTGTGATGGAAACTGAATTATCGCTGATGAAAAAGGACATCCTATTTAACCTGATATTTATTCTATGTGATAATGTAAATTTTTAATGGTAATTGATAGTTGAATAGCAATGTGATTCATTGTGAACAAGCAACTAAACTGATAATACTTAATTAGTATTATTTATTTAAAAATTACTACACCTATTATTCTAGTGTATAGATTTAGAGTGCATAATTGATCATCTATGACCTACGTAGCCTGTAGCAGATGTCTGATATGAGCCTAAAAGCTAAACTAAACTTTAACCATAAAAACTTTTTTATAAAAAAATAGCAGAATAAAAATAGTGCTGCCCTCTTAATTTATACCTCACTCCCCAGTCACAATAAATGCTTTTATTATTTTAAGATATTATTCACAGTCGTATTTAACATGAAATAACAGCCGACTGTGAATAGACATATTGGGGCTATTCAGTCGGCTGGGAAGAGCCTTTGCCTATTTATTATCTGATTTAACTTTTAACCATAAATGGCAAATGGTGATCTATTATTCTATTATCTATAGGCCTAGGCCTAATATTTTATTAAAAATATACGAAAATATACTAATTATTTAATAATTTAATAACATTCATTAACTCACTCTCCCTCACATTAGGCCTACTAGATCTAGATCTAGTTTTGGCCGAATTTACGACACTAAACTAAGGCTTTACATAGTCCTCTATATAATAATATATTTTATAATTATAGGCCTATAGTATTGTTAGTATTGTTTATTAGAAATATTTGTAGGCCTAGATTAATAAAATTGTAGTCTAGATCTAGATATTGGTAATCTATCATTTAAATTTAAAGTACGTAAAATCGACCGCGACTAGTAATGTGAAAAGGCTGTGGCTATTCGTACTTTTCTACAAATAGCCCTATGAAGGCTAGTGAAAAGCAGGGTATTAAGAGCCGTGTAGTATTAGGCCCCGATCAGCACCTCACCCCCACAAAACCCCAATAACACTGCTAATCTACTTCTGAGATAACAACCGGGTGTTGGGAAATTGCGAGACGCGAAAAGCAAAATGGCGAGGCAGGAAAATGCGAGAAGGGCGCGAAAACGGTAGGTCACGTGACTTTTTTGTCTCGCATATTACGAGAACCCGATACTTACTACGCTGGATAGTGTTAAAATGCGAGGATTTCTGCGAAAAATTTACCGCACCCGATTTACAGTGGTTTTTGGTGCAAACTTCAAAGACGTTTTGTTTACATTGTTAAAACTTCCGATTTTTCCGGCACTAGACATACTGATGATTTGTGAACTACCCCCATCTTTTGTGTCGACTTAGAATACCACCTTGTTCAAAACCGCCCGAAATACCGCCGATGATAGATCAACTTCTTTCTTTTGAGTGGAACACCGAGACCGCCTGATTTACCGTCTTTGAAGATCACCGTGCTAGGATCCGCTGCCAATGCAAACATATTTTCTATTGTTGCATAGAAATTTTGTATTATAGCCGCCGCCAGTGTTGTGTGTGGGATGTACGGGGAGGTCAACTGTGACATGTGAATGTGGATTGGAAGAAGTAGCTAAAAGAAAAATGTATAAATGTCTAATGAACTGGGTTACATGTACTATGTGTGAAAGATGGTGTCACGAGGTGTTTTTGAGTAGTGCTAGGTTTGTGTCAGAAGATTTTGTTTGTAAATTTTGTTTGTAATTAAAATTACTTAATAAAAAATCAATTACACTTTTTAGAACTGTTTATACTTTTACACTTTCAGCAAATACAACAATCCATGAATACATGTTGCAGAATATCTCTCCTGCTGACAAGATTATACCAGTTCACAATGACACAGCTCACGTTTGTATAAACATGAGCTGGCTAGATTTTTTAAATTAATGCCGACCGAGGCGGGATTTTCCTATCGCTTATGAGAGCGGGCGATGACAGTAGCACAGCAGTGATGTTATGATTTTTTAATAGATAGATCTAGATATAGATCTATCTATCTTCTTAGTATCTATCTATATATATATGATAAAAAATAACAACATACAACACTCGTGTTCAAGGGTATGGCTACATGCCTGATTATTTTAAAACAAAAAAAAATAATTTAAATGAAGATGAAAAAAGCATGAAAAAAACTTTTTTTTCGCAAAAGGTGTTTCGCTATTTAACCTTGATTCCGCAGGTATGTCTCGCGTTATCTTCACGCCATTTCGCGTCTCGCAATTTCCCAACACCCGTAACAACCACTGCTGTTCTTTGATAACAGAGACGCAGAGGATTTATTTTATGTAATTTATGACCCACTTGGTCCAATAGGGAGAGGATGAGACAGGATTTAATCCCAATGCTCTTTCCCTAATATTTCTCATCTCCATAAAACCATTTTGTAAACTTTTTTTCTAAAAAAAGTCAAAGGGAATAGAACCCACGCCTCGAAAACAAACTAGCCAATGCACAACCACTTCGACCACCGGAACAGTTACAACCAGCTTCAAAATTGTAATGTCATACACAAGCTAATGAAAATAATTATGCACGCATGCGCAGGACAATGAATTTAAAAATAAATTTGATTGGTCGGCTAAAAATAGCAAAGTACGAATAGCCTTCTGAGGGCTATTTGTAGTAAAGTACCAATAGACACTCTCATGTGAAAAACAGGTGACTCCTTAAATTTTAGGCCGCATTTGAGCGGTTCGCTCCACGTTACGCTTAATCTTCACCCTAGGTTGCACGCGATCTAAAAAAAACATATCAGGACTGTCCGATTTGTTTTCGTGGTAACAATTTAATGTTGACATAGATCTAGATCGAGTTTTAATTCAATTTGCTTGAGGGGGGAGGGGGTGGGAGGAAGGGATTTTCCACTCACGGGATAGTAAATGTAAGGCATGCAATCACAACAGTGATGATGTTTGGAAATTTTATTTTAAAAAAAAAGAATCATAGTCTACGTCATATTTTCAATATGAAAAAAAAAAAATTCCGGTCGAGTTAACCCCGCGTTCGAACTCTGTACTCCGAGTCTATGAACATCAGACTACAGCTGGTACACTGTTGACTCAACCACAGCGGATGTGATAGACATATGTAAAGTAAGCATTTTCAATTATAAGGTGCCAAATCAAACCTGCGAGACGCGTAGTATATTCTTTAGGGGCCACGCTTTGCGAGACGCGTAGTCACTTTGTAAATTTTAATAATTATTTCACATTTTGAGGCAGATTTATGTTATGAAAAATACAAAAATGATTCCTTGTTTCATTTAGGCCTATGTACCTGCTTTTAAACAATTGAATTGAAACTTTTTAGTCATAATTGAAGACTAGCGAATAGTAGCGATGTTTTCATCGGATGCAACCATGCTCATTTACTATAGCAGCCATCTTGTTTTAAGTTCTTTTGTTGTAAACTTATAGCGCGATATTAAGGGGAAGGCAACTCTATTTTACAAATGGCTGCTTTTTATATAAGGCCTATAAGAAATCCTACTCGCAAACACTGCTTTTTAAAGTTAATGTCTTGCCTATAGGTCTATTCAATATTCATGATAGATCTATTATATATTTAATATTTAGCTATTGATTTATGTTTATAATTCATCTATCTATAATATTTGACACAAATATTTCACAAAGCCTTGACAATGAGGTAACTTTTTCGTACATTACTAGATCTAGATTCTTAGATCCTAGCCGCGGGCGATTTTACGTACCCAAAACGATAGATTACCTAGAAATCTTTCTATTCTAGATCTACATCTGAACTACATCAAGATATCTAGATCTAGTACGACTAGTAGTAGATCTAGATCTAGATCTAGTAGTAGGCCTAATTGCTAATGGCTCGGCCTAATACTATTAGTAGGCTAATACACTAATGACTAATACATTCATAGATCAATAGATATTAGATCTAGATAAAGATTACCAGCAAGCGGCAGATCACAAAAGCATAGATCTAGATCACATCAAGGTCTAAAAGTAAACTGAGATTACTGGAGAAGTAGATCTAATCTACATCTAGACTAGTTCATTCATAATCTCAACAGCATCCGACATGATCACGTACGGCGGAAGCAAAATCGTGTAGGCCTAATGGTCATTTTAACCAAGTGACTAGATTCTAGGCCCCCCTACTCGTAAAAAGATGCTTCGGCAGAAAATACGAAATTCAATAGTTCTGCGCATGCGCAGTGACCTGCGTTAGGGTTAGGGACAGGGTTAGTGTAACACCGCGTTTATACTAAGACTTATGACATGTATACTAGACTAGACTCGGGGTCATCCATTTATGGCGTCCACAAATATGTGGAGTTTTAACCTCCCCCTCCAAGATGTTCTTAAGTCCAGAGGCGTAGCTAGAGGCGGGGGGCGGGGGGGGGGGGGGGGGGGGGGGGGCGCCCCGTGCGCCGATCCTAGGGAGGCACCAAAAGGGTCAGAAATTTTTTTTAAGCTGCAGTTTTGAATTATAAACAGTCACTGTAATAGATTGAAATAATTGTGAGGTCAAGGGAACTCACTCTTCTGTATTAGTTATATTTATAATATTGTTATCTTGAGTGATGTCCCTTGTGTACTTCCTTCCGTCCTCTCTGTGTGTTACCATCGTGATGTAGTTAGACCCATTAAATGTGTTATATACAACCACAGGCTTCTGTCGTCAATCTATTATAACTGGCGACGAAGGATAAACATCTACTAGAAAGAGCACCTACTTACGCAAAAAAGAGGTTTGCTAGAGCTTATTAGCTAATTATTTCTAGAATTATGGCGCTGTATGGCCAAATAAAAGAATTTGATGCGAATGATGAAATCATTCAAGATTACCTAGAGAGGTTAAGCTTTTACCTAGAAGCTAACGACGTGACGATAGAAGCCAAAAAGAGAGCTGTTTTGTTAACAGTCATAGGGCCTCAACAATTCAGGCTACTAAAGGACTTATGCGCACCAGCTAGTCCAGATACCAAGAGCTTTAACGAGCTGAGCAAATTGCTAACAGACCACCATGCGCCTACCCCATCAAAGTTTCTATGTCGAGCTAGATTTGACGGTAGAACTCGTCAACCAAACGAGTCAATATCAGAATATGTTGCTGCTTTACGTCATTTAAGTAGATTCTGTGAATTTGGAGAAACGCTGTCTGACAGACTATGTGAAAAGTTTGTGACAGGTGTAAACAGCCCTGATATTCAAAGAAAGTTGCTGCTCGAGTCAGATCTAAAATTGGAAAAAGCAATACAACTTGCAATGTCATTCCAGCAGTCATCAGATGCGGCGAGATCTTTAGCACCTTCAGAGATCCATGCAGTAAACAGCAGGTTAGTCAATAAACATCAACCCCATCAGAGCATTCCAACTTATGCTAAACAGCCTGCTCGTTCAAATCCTAGATCTAAATCTAGTAATAATTATCAAAAATGTCATCGATGCAAAGGTCCCCATGCATCTCATCGATGCAAGTTCAAGTTAGCAACTTGTTATAAGTGCGGTAAGCAAGGTCACATTGCCAAGGCCTGCTTTGCAAAGTCTTCGTCTGTTGCTAAATCTAGCCAGTCAAGACAGTACCGCAACCAAAAGCAGCACTATGTTAACTCTCACCAAGACTACCTAACCCAACCAATGAACCACTCTACCTGTGAAAATGCTCAAACTGATTCGCAACCGGATTTCAACCTGTTCTCTGTGAAATCAATAAGTCATGCTCCCATCAATGTACTAGTTAATATCAACGGTAAGAGCATCAGCTTCCAACTTGACACTGGAGCATCTCTAACAGTCATAACAAAGAAAGATTTTGACGCTGTCACAGGAGGATCAGTGCCTCTACAGCTATGTCACAAGTGTTTAACAACATACACTGGTGACAATGTTCCGGTAATAGGAGAGTGTATGGTTCATGTAAGTTATAATGGTCAAAGTGTTAAACTTCCTCTTCTTGTGGTTGAAGGAAATGGACCGCCATTACTAGGTAGGAACTGGTTAAGTGATCTTAAGTTAAATTGGGAGAGTATTTGTTCATTGAAGAATGTAAAAGAATCTAGTCTTACTTCACTAGATAAAGTTATATCTGAAAATAAATGTGTTTTTGGTAATTCAGGTTTACTAAATGATAGAACAGTGAAGTTAAGCATTAAAGATACAAATCCAAGATACTGCAAAGCTAGAGTTCCACCTTATGCAATGAGGAATAAAATTGAAAATGAGCTAAGTAGATTGGAATCTAATGGCATTATAAAGAAGGTAGACTATTCCGATTGGGCGACACCCATTGTGCCAGTGTTAAAGAAGGATGGTTCTATAAGAATTTGTGGAGATTATAAAACTACACTGAATAAGCAAATAGAGCTAAATAGGTACCCTATACCTAACATTGAGGAAATCTCTTTGAATTTGGCAGGAGGAGACAAATTCACTGAATTAGACTTTAGTCATGCTTACACTCAACTAGAACTGCATCCAGATTCAAAAGTCTATACGACAATAAACACACATAAAGGACTCTACCAATATGAAAGACTATGTTTTAGCATATCATCTAGCCCTGGAATTTACCAAGCTGTCATGGACAGTATTTTTAAGGACATTCCAAATGTTTGTGTGTACTTTGACAATGTGTACATAACTGGTAAGAATGACACTGAACATCTTCAAACACTTGATAAAGTATTGAAAATTGTTGGTGAAAAAGGTTTAAAGATAAACAAAGATAAATGTCAATTCATGTTGACAGAAATTAGTTTTCTTGGTTATATATTAAGCAAGCAAGGTATCAGACCTCAACCTGAGAAAACAAAAGCCATTAAAGAAGCACCCAAACCTGAAAATACCCAACAACTAAGAGCTTTTTTGGGCTTGATAAATTACTATGCAAAGCTCATAGGGAATCTGTCTGGTAAACTATCACCACTGTACAAGCTGCTACAGAAAAATGCAACTTGGCACTGGGGTAAACAACAAGAAGCTGCTTTTAATACAGCAAAAGAGGCTTTGTCTTCTGACACCTTACTAACTCACTATGACCTAGGGAAAAGACTTATATTGACATGTGATGCTTCACCAGATGGTGTAGGAGCAGTCTTGTCTCACATGGATGAGAAGGGTGACAGACCCATTGCTTTTGCCAGTAGATCTTTGAACCAGGCTGAGAAAAATTATTCTCAGTTAGATAGGGAAGGCTTAGGCATCATTTTTGGTGTTAAGAAATTTCATAAGTTTCTGTTTGGTAGGAAGTTCACCATCTTTACAGATCATAAACCATTGCTAGGTTTATTTGGAGAAAACAAAACCCTACCTGAGCATGCCTCACCAAGAATTCAAAGATGGGCTATCACACTAACTGCATACAATTATGAATTGAAATACAAACCTGGATCTGAGAATAGTGCAGATAGTCTTAGTAGATTACCTTTAAAAAACCAGAGCCTGAGCTATGTACCAGAAGATGTATTTGTTCTCTTCACTATCATGGATAACTCCAATATAAATGTGAATGATATTAAGAGAGAAACACAAAAAGATGAGTGCTTAATAAAAGTATATGAGTACTGTAAGAATGGTTGGCCTGAAGAGTCTGTGAATGATGACTTAAGGCCATATAAAATAAGAAATTAAAACCCTTTGTGAAGATAATATAAAAGATGGAGAAGATGCAGTCCATTATCAGTCAGAGTTGCCTAAACAAAGTACTTGTAACTTAATAAATGATTATGGTGATATGGCAATTTCAAATGTTTTAAAGAGAATACATTAGTAAGAAGGAATGTGATCATCAAACAACTTTGCTAACATCATTAGCACTTACAGAAACTAAAAGGGTAACATCAAAAGAAAAGAGAAAAAGATTTTTGCCATTTAATACTTTCAGATGCCAATTCAAAAAGTCAATCATGACAGAACACCCATTGAAAGAGAATTTGGTGTTAATAAGAATGTGTATCTAAGAAATTATGGGAGAAAGGAAAAATGGATACCAGGTCAAATTGTTCAATGTACAGGACCTGTGTCTTATAAAGTTAAAAATAACTTGTGCAGATAATAAGTGTGAATCTGTCAATCCCACCAAATCTGAACAGTTCACACCAACTCAGTTTGTTCCACAACCAAGTTCTGTTGATATGAGTGAACCAAGTTGTCTGGAGTCAGAAAATGTAAATTCTGGAGTTAATGATTTAAATCCTAGACCTCCTGACATAGAGAATCCAGATGGTCAGAATATTGAGTCACCAAATCAAAAGCCACTGAGAAGGTCAAGCAGGACAATCAAAGTCCCAAATAAGTTAGACCTATGATTTTAAGGGTCAAAAGGACTTTGACATCATTGTTTTGTATCTTGATTATGTTGTAGCATATTGTGCATTGTTTGCAAGGATGTAATCTACCATAGTGTTCATGTTACAATATAATTGGTGATTTTAGGATACTATCAATTGTTCTATTGAGAGATGTGTTATTGTGTTCTAAGGGTAAAGGGATGTAATAGATTGAGTTAATTGTGAGGTCAAGGGAACTCACTCTCTGTATTAGTATTATATTTATATTGTTATCTTGAGTGATGTCCCTTACATGTTGTTATCTATATATAGTTGTCTCTGGCTACTTCTTCCTCTCTCTCTTGCCATCATGGCGTCTGTAAATAATAAAGACTGTTAACAACCAACGCGGCTTCTCGTCAGTCATTACAATCCACCTCAAAAGTGTAATGTATGATTTCACTCGCGGGTTTGTTAAATGACGCGATTAGTTGTTTTTTTACGATTCTTAGGATTCTCTCAACTTCACATGATAGATCAGATAATTATACTGGATTGCATTACATATTGACTGCATCTATCGTTTTAAAGAGAAATGAAGATCAAGGATTCTTGTGCATTATATTTTGGTTAATGATTAGGCTAATTTTTTTTTTTAAAATCCATTGTTTATAAAAGAAACAAATCAAGCTAGAAACATTATAAGTGAGATGGTTTAGAAAAATGGACCCAGTCTACAATTGATACAATTGCAGGTCTACATAGGGCCTACAGTCTAGTAGTTTACAGTAGGCACCTAGTGTGTAGCTAGTATGCTAGTGTGTAGCTTTCCCCTGATAAGCCATGTGTGCTATAAATGACATAACATGACATCGAAGTGAGAAATGTTGACGGGAGAGCAGTGG